CTCTGCGGTTCACGGCCATTCTGCCTGCCTCACCCCTCCCGAGTTTAGCTGGGGATTACATGCACGCCGACACTGCGCCAGCTAATTTTTTGTACTTTTAGTAGAGACACGGGGTTTCACCGTGGTCTTGATCTCCTGACCTTGTGATCCGCCCAACTCGGCCTCCCAAAGTGCTGGGATTACAGGCATGAGCCACCATGCCCGGCCTAATTTGTTAAATAGAAAACAAATGGGAGTACAGTCTGGGCAAAGGCATGGTTACAGGTATGGTCGAAATTTTGTAGACTAGGCTGCAGCTCAGCCTCCAGAGAATCCCGGGGAGGTGGACTCTTCCTCAACCCAATTAGAGGCCCCAGCTCAGACACCAGAGTGCCCTGAGGAGATGAAATATTTTGCCCTGAGCAAGGGATTCCAGCTGAGCCTCCAGGTCCTCCTGTGGAGGCTGAACCTTCCTCCAGAGAGCAGAAGCAGCCAGCTCAGCCTTCTGAGTTTTCTGGGGAGGTGGAATTTTCTCAGACCCAGGAGGAGACCCCAACTCTGCCTCCAGAGTCTTCTATAGAGAGTGCAGCTCAAACTCCACTGAATCATGAGGTGACAGTTCAAACTTAGGGTGTGTATCAAGCTCATTATAACTTGTCAAACATTACAGTTAAACCTGCAGATGTAGAGATTAGCATAACTTCCGAGCCTACCAAGGACACTGACTCTTCTCCAGTCCAGCAGGAGGCCCCAAACCAGCATCCACAGCAGATGTAACCTTCTGCAACCCAACAGGAGGCCACAACTGAGCCTCCAGGTCCTCCTGTGAAGGATGAACATTGAGCAGGAGTAGCCAGGTCTGCCTTCTGAGTCTTCTGGGGAAGTTGAATCCTCTCCAGCCTGCAGGAGACCCCAGCTCAGCCTCCAGAACATCATCAAGTAACAGTTCCACCTCCCGGTCACCATCAAGTTCAACACTGAGATTTGCCCAGTATCACTGTTAAGCCTCCAGATACGAAGCTCACCATAGCAACAGAGCCTACTGTGGAGGTGAGAACTTCTCCAATCCATCAGGAGGCTACAGCTCAGCTCTCAGAGCCAGTTAATGATGTAGAACATTCCAACACCCAGCATGGGGGCACGCCTCTGCCTACAGAGTCATTAGAAGAGGCTGGCCCTTTACCAGTTCAACAGGAGACTTCGGTTGAATCTCCAGAACCCACTAAATATGAGAACCCCTCTCCAACACAGTAGGAGGCTGCAGGTGAGCATCCACAGACCCCTGAGTAGGTCGAGTCTTCTCCAACCCAGAAAGATGCCCCAACTCAGCCTTCAGAGCTCCCTAATGAAGTTGTAGCTCAACCTCCAGAGCGTCATGGGGTAACAGTTTCTCCTATAAGTCATGATCAAGTTCAGCCTCCAACATTTCACCATGTCATTGTTAAGCCTGTGGATCACATGGTTACCATGACTCCAGAGTTCACCTATCAGGTTGAAATTTTAACTCAACACAGGGTCCCAGCTCAGTCTTTAATATCCCCTGAGCAGTTTAAACATTTGAAAGACCAGCAACAGATTATCATTCAGCAGCTAAATACCCCTGGAAATGATGAACTTCTGCCAAGTCTATCAAGACCCCACAACTCCGTCTCCAACTCAGCTCTCCTCAGACGTTGTAAGTTCATTTAATTGTAAGACGGTATTTTCACCTCTAGATCTCTCTTCCATATTCAGAAGTAGTTCAGCTTTGCCTAATACCACAGTTAAATATGTGAATATGGCCCGGGCGTGGCCGCTCACGCCTGTAATCCCAGAAATTTGAGAGGCCGAGGCGGGTGGATCACGAGGTCAGGAGATCGAGATCAACCTGGCTAACACGGTGAAACCCCGTCTCTACTAAAAATACAAAAAATTAGCCGGTCGTTGTCACAGGCACCTGTAGTCCCAGCTATTCAGGAGGCTGAGGCAGGAGAATGGCATGAACGCAGGAGGCAGAGCTTGCAGTGAACCGAGATCGCGCCACTACACTCCAGCCTGGGCGACAGAGCGAGACTCTGTCTCAAAAAAAAAAAAAAAAAAGTGAATATGGAGCTTACCATACCTACAGCAGTCACTATGGAGGCTGAACCTTCTCCAGTCCAGCAGGACAGCCCTCCTATTCCCACTGAGCAGGGTGACTCTCTAACCCCGCCTGATCCCTCTTCTGGATTCTCCTGTAAAGATTAAATCTCCAACCCAGCAAGCAGCCACAACTCAGATCCCAGATCCACCTAAAGAGGTAGAATCTTCTCCAGTTCAGCCTGAGTCCCCACCTGAGCCATCAGGCCCCCTTAAAGACGTTGAACCATCTGAAACCCAGCAGGAAGTCTCAGGTCATTTTCTGAAGTCCACTGAAGAGGTCAGTCTTCCACCACAGCTGGAGATACCAGCTCAGCCATCAGAGCCACCTGAGAAGGTCGAGCCATCTCCAGTCCTACAACTGGCCCAAACTCAGATTTTAAAGCCACCTAAAGAGGTAGAATCCTCTCCAGTCCAGCAGGCAGGCCCTGCTCAATCTTCAGAGGACCCTATGTTGGTAGAACTCTCTCTGACTCAGCAGGTGTCCCCATCTTTACATCCAGAGTTCCCTGAAGAGGTGGAACCATCTCTAACTCAGCAGGAGTTTCTAGCTCAGACCCCAGTGCCCCAAATGGAGGCAGAACCTTCTCCAGCCCAACAGGAGGCCACAGTTCAGGCTCCAGAGCCCCCGAGGAGGTTGAACCTTCAAGCCAGCAGATGGTCCCAGCTCAGCTTCCAGAGCCACCTAAGGAGGTTGCAGGTCAACCTCCAATGCATTACGAGATGACAAAGACATGGCTACAGGTATGATCAGAATTTAGTAGTCCAATCTGGCTGCAAATAATTTTTTGAGGGAGCAATGAAAATATGATTATGTAGAACCTCTATTATCAGACATAGGAATTTGAAGGCCACACAGTGAGATATGGAAAGTCATTGAAAGTTTCCAAGCCAGAGAGATTAAATTATTAAATCAGGAGATTTTTTTATTTTTTTTTATTTTTTTTTTGAGACAGAGTCTCACTCTGTCGCCCAGGCTGGAGTGCAATGGTGTGATCTCAGCTCACTGTAACCTCTGCCTCCCAGGTTCAAGCGATTCTCCTGCCTCAGCCTCCCGAGTAGCTGGGACTACAGGCACTTGGCACCACGACTGGCTAATTTTTGTATTTTTAGTAGAGATGGTGTTTCACCATATTGGCCAGGCTAGTCTCAAACTCCTGACCTCACAATCTGCCCACCTCAGCCTCTCAAAGTGCTGGGATTACAGGCGTGAGCAACCGCACCTGGCCAGGAGGATTATTTTATTTTATTTTTTGCTTTATGTTCAAGTGTAGACAGGCAGAAGATTATTTCAGAATCCATATGTAGAGTGCTCTACAAGGGAAAGCTTAATTCAGGGCAACAAAATAGAAAGGTCTAGCAAAACCTAGGTGTAAAGTGAGAAGGGGTTAAGTCAGATCGGTTGTGATAGGAGTGGAAAGAAAAATCCTAGGATGTTTTCACAGAGAGCACTGAGCCCAAGCTTTGGTGTTACCTGGCATAGGGTTTCTTTCTTCTTGTTTGTTTATAATAATAAGTTTATGCCTATTTTTCTGTTGCGTTATCTATCGTTTTTGTCTTGATTTGTAGAAAGGGTTTGTTTAGACACATAAATGATTTTGGATAAAATACTTACATTCAAAGTAATTAACTGCCATTATCTGTCCAAGAGATTGGATAGATAGGAAGTTAAGCTTCGGGGAGATGCCTCGTCATTTGTGCCAGTGGCCCCACATTATTTCTTGATTAATTGTGCAAACTGGGGGAAGTTCCTCTCAGAAGCAGTGTGCAGGTGTGCTCTTTGAAATTCCAACATGGCATACCGTGACCAGGGCCAGAAAATGCAGAAGGTTGTAGTGCAGCCCATCAACCTCATCTTCAGATACTTACAAAATAGATTGTGGATTCAGGCGTGGCTCTATGAGCAAGTGAATATGTGGATAGAAGGCTGTATCATTGGTTTTAATGAGTATATGAACCTTATATTAGATGATGCAGAAGAGATTCATTCTAAAACAAAGTCAAGAAAACAACTGGGTCGGATCATGCTAAAAGGAGATAATATTACTCTGCTATAAAGTGTCTCCAACTGAAAATGATCAATGAAGTGAGAAATTGTGGAGAAGGATACAGTTTGTTTTTAGATGTCCTTCGTCCAATATGAACATTTATTCATATTGTTTTGATTACCTTTATGTTATTACAAGATGGCAATAAATGCTGTGGGATTGTTTGTATTAAAACGTTTACATTGCTTCTTTAAAAAAATTGTGCAAACTGGAAAACTTATACTGCTGGAAATTAGAAAGCAGGTGTTATTTTCTATATCTAAATATTTCCCACAAGGTTGCCATGATTCTTTTACTTATCCTGTTTTTTTCTTTTCCTACCTATTTAAGGATATAAATTGTGTTTCTTCGCAGACATTTGCAAGGAAACTATATTTCTTACATTGATGCAAATGTGTGGAAACATACAGTTGGACTGAGAAACTGCGAGTATATTCTCTCGAAATATGACAAAAAACTATCTGCATTGTAAGGTCCTTTTTGGTCCAGAATTTTGAGATTGGTACCTCTGAGAAAAGATATTTCCCCTCCATACCCCAAATCAACCTCTGTTGATTGCAATCCTATGGTTATTTTTAAATTAAATTTGGTACACTGTCTTTAAAATAAGAGGCAATTTAAATTTATTTTTTATTATACAAGTAATACATGGTTATATTCTTTTTCTTCTTCTTCTTCTTTTCTTTTTTAATCCCAGCACTTTGGGAGGCCAAGGCGGGCAGATCACGAGGTCAAGAGATTGGGACCATCCTGGCCAACATGGTGAAACCCCATCTCTACTAAAAATACAAAAAAATTAGCCGGGCATGGTGGTGCACACCTATCGTCCCAGCTACTTGGGAGGCTGAGGCAGGAGGATCCCTTGAACCCAGGAGGCAGAGGTTGCAGTGAACGAGATTGCACCACTGCACTCCAGCCTGGCAACAGAGCGAGACTCCATCTAAAAGAGAAAAAAGAATGGATCTCTAGAAATGGAATTGTTGCACTGCAGACTATGTAGATATGAAATTTTAATTGCCCTTAAAAATGTTGTGCCAACTTACTCTGTCCTCAACAGAATATGACAGCATTCATTTCCCCACACCTTTTTACCGCTGGGTATTCTCCAACTTTTTGTTGATGTTATGAGTGAATAAAAGGGATACCATCTATATATCCATTTTTCTGATTACTCATGAATTTAATTAAATATCTTTATATATGTATTGAACATTTATGTTTCTTCTCTGAGTTTTATTTCCTTTGTTCATGTTCCTGTTGAATTGTTTCATCATTTTCTTATTGATTTATTAAAGGAATTAGTTTAGACAAATGATTTTGGGAAAAATGCTTACATTCAAAGTAACTGGCATTTTTCACAACAGTTTGTGTGTCACATCATTAGTTCAACTTATGTAGACAGGTCATACATGAGTTCTCCATTTAAAATAAAATGCATGACAATCATAGTAATCTAAAAAGACCACTTTAAAAGAGTTTTACCCTATCCTGAGTCTGATATCTTATTGATAAGAAAAAAAAAAAAAAAGCTAGAACCGGACCGTTCTGTTTTCCAGCTCTAGAGGAGGGGTGGGATTCTGGGGCTTGTGTTCCGGATGGAGTCTTCTGAGAATAAGGAAGTTGTGGGAGATGGCTAGTAAGGGAGTGTACACCCTTCATCCAGGATTTCAGGACCCTGCCTCCTTTCTAACACCAATTGCTCCTGCCTGGAGGAGGACACCTTTTGCTGCCTGGCCCAAGGAAGAAGGATATTGGATTGATGTGCCTCTGGCTTCTCCTAATGCCCTGTCCCAACCAAGAACTTGTAGGTAATTCCAGGGCATTTCTGACAGGGGAGAATTTGTAGAGCTGCTTCCACATTTTGAGCTACGGTTGTGGGTTTTTAAATGATTTCTGTTCCACAATTTTTAGGGATTTGGTAGAGATCAGATGGGTAGAGACATGGCATGTTCTCAGTCGGCCAACTTGAAATAGCACAACTTCTTAGAAAACAATTTTGTACCCTTATATCCTAGAGAAACTCAAGCAAAAGTGTTGTCAGGATACAAGTATAAGAATGTTCAAAGCAGCATTGTTTGTTTGTAATAATTAAAAACTAGAAAAATCTCAGTATCCATCCACAGTAGGTGAATTAATACATTGCAGAATCATTGTACAATGGAATACTTTAAAGCAGCAGTACTCATTAGAAACACAATGCAAGCCACATACATAATCTTAACTTTTCTGGTAGTCACTTAAAAAATAAAACTAAAAAAGAAACAGGTGAAACATGTTAATATATTTTATTTCACCCATATATCCAATATATTATCATTTCAACATGTAATTATTATATGTGTTATTAATGAGATATTCTATTTTCATACTAAGTCTTCAATGTATCCAAAGTGGTATCATTTCTGCATGTAATTAGTATAAAAATTAATTGGGGAGTTTACATTCTTTTTTCCATACTAACTCTTTGAAGTCTAAATATGGTTGCTAAATTTTTATCAAAAATACTTAATCTGTTCTGCTGAGCAGTCTAGGGAGAATAGTAAAATAAATAATAATAATACTTAATGTGGCCGGAGGTAACTCATCCCTGTGATCCCAGCATTTTGGGAGCCCTAGGCAGGAGGATTGCTTGAGCCCAGGAGTTCAAGACCAGCCTGGCAACACAGTGAGACCTCATCTTTACAAAAAATTAAAAATATTGGCTGGACACGAAGGTGTGTGCTTGTAGTCCCAGCTAATCAGGAGGCTTAGGTGGGAGGATCACTTGAGCCTGGGAGGTTGAGACTGCAGTGCACTGTGGTCATGCTACTGCTCTCCAGCCTGGGCAACAGATCCAGACTTTGTCTCAAAAACAAACAAACAAAAAAAAACTTAATCTATGTTTAGATTTCATAAAAGTTGCAGTTGAAAAAGCAGCCATCACATACCCAAGTTGTTGCAAATATACTTTTTTTTTTTTTTTGAGACGGAGTTTCCCTCTTGTTGCCCAGGCTGGAGTGCAGTGGTGCAATGTCAGCTCACTGCATCCTCCACCTCCCAGGTTTAAGCGATTCTCCTGCCTCAGCCTCCCAAGTAGCTGGGATTACAGGTGCCTGCCACCATGCCAGGCTAATTTGTGTATTTTTAATAGAGTTTCACCATGTTGGCCAGGCTGGTCCACCCACCTGGGCCTCCCAAAGTGCTGGGATTACAGGCGTGAGCCACCGTGCCCGGCCACAAACGTACATTTTCTAATAACTGCATTGAGTATCAGCTTTTAAATTTAAAAGTAATTAAAATGAATGAAATTGAAGATTCAGTTCCTCCGTCAAATTAGCCACTATCAGTAGCCAAATGTAGATCGTGACCTCCTTATTGGAAGCACAACACAGGCCTTGAAATGCACCAACTTCAGCAACATACAACATCTTAAATGTAAAAACAGATTATTGAGTGAAAGAAGTGATACAGAAAATAATATGCATAATATGATTTCATTTATACAATGTTCCAGGAGGCAAGACTAAAGTATGTTGTTTATGACTGACATACAATAGGTAAAACTACATTTTATTTTATTTATTTTTGAGACAGGGTCTGGAGTGGTGCAAGCACGGATCACTGCAGCCTGGACCTCCCATGCTCAAGCGATTCTTGCATCTCAGCCTCTCCAGTAGCTGAGACTTCAAGGTGCAGGCTAACATGCCCAGCTAACTTTTAAATCTTTGTAAAGAGGAGGTCCTGCTGTGTTGCTTAGACTGGTCTCGAACTCCTGGGCTCAAGCAATCCTCCTGCCTCAGCCTCACAAACTGCTGGGATTACAAGTGTGAGCCGCTCTGCCCAGCCAGAACTACAGTTTACAAGCAAAAAAATTATTACAAAGGTCAGGATATTGATTACCTGTCAGGGTTAGAGAGATGGTTGTGATTGGAAAGGGGCACACTGGGGGCTTCTGGAATACTAACAGCGACCATTCGTAATGATATTACATGTGTATCTGCTTTATAATTATTAAACTGAATATTTGGCCAGGTGCAGTGGCTCATGCCTGTAATCGCAACACTTTGGGAGGCTGAGGCAAGAGGATCACTTGAGTCCAGGAGTTTAAGACCAGTCTGGGCAACAGAGTGAGACCCTGTCTCAGAAAAATTAAATATAAACAACATTTATGTTATGTGCACTTTATGAACATTGTAGTTCTTGAATTTTTTTTTTTTTTTTTTTTTTTTTGGAGATGGAGTCTCGCTCTGTCATCTAGGCTGGAGTGCAGGGCCGCGATCTCGGCTCACTGCTACATCTGCCTGCTGGGTTCATGCCATTCTCCTGCCTCACCCTCCCGAGTAGCTGGGACTACAGGCGCCCGCCACCTCGCCCGGCTAATGTTTAGTATTTTTTTTTTGGTAGCGAAGGGGTTTCACCGTGGTTTTCACCGTGGTCTCGATCTCCTGACCTCGTGATCTGCCCACCTCGGCCTCCCAAAGTGCTGGGATCACAGGCATAAGCCACCGCCCCCGGCCGAATTTTTTTAATGAGGAAAAAGTCAAATGGCTTCACGTGCAGCCCTGACATACTTCCTTGTAGTGCTTTCACAATAAGGTTTGGGAAAACAGGAGCAAATGGCAGCTCTGTTGATCTTGGTGCCACCTAGAGTTGGATTCTAACAGGGACTTTGTGATCTAGAGAGGTGGCAAATAGACTATTTGGTGGGATGTGTGGGTAGGGGTGTGTGTGTGTGCGCGCGTGTGTGTGTGTGGATGGTGGTGGAGAGAGATAGACACAAAAAGGAAAATGTGAGGAAAGGTTTTAATGAAAGCAGAGCAGATATCACCATCTTGAAATTACCATTACCCAGCTTTTGGCTGGTTGCCGTGGTTCACACCTGTAATCCCAGCACTTTGGGAGGCTAAGGCGTGTGGCCCCCTTGAGGCCGGAGTTCAAGACTAGCATGGCCAAAACAGCGAAACCCCCGGTGGCACATGCCTGTAATCCCAGCTACTTGGGAAGCTGCTGTGAGGAATCTCTTGAACCCGGGAGGTGGAGGTTGCAGTGAGCCGACATGGCACCACTGCACTCCAGCCTGGGCGACAGCGCCAGACTCGATCTCAAAAAAAAGGGAAGGAGCCTGGGGCAACAGTTACCATTCAAGAGGGAGCAGGAAGCCCAGAAAGGAAAAAATTAGCATGGGGGAATCCCAAATTCTTTATATAAACTTAGTTCAAGTTTCTGGCTGACTACTCTACCGTACGTACTTGAGGAAACATGAAAGCAGCTTGCAGCTAAAACTTCCAGAACTGAGCTAAGATTGGAGTTGTCATCTTAGGAAAGGCAGGAAAGTTTGCAGTTTCAATCTAAGTTAACAGCCTGCTAAAATAAAAACAGCAAAACTCTTCAGACCAGTTTAACAGAATCGAGAGTCTCTACAACGTAATATTCACAATGTCTAAATACAATCCAAAATTATTCAACAGGAAAATGTGACCTAATCTCAAGAGAAGAGACACCCAATAGATACCAACCCTCAGATGAGCCAGATAATGGCATTACCAGACAAGGACTTTGGAGCAGTGTCAAACTCTATCTAGTGAGGTAATGGAAAATATGTTTATAATGAAGGCAAAGGTAGAAAATCTCAGCAGAAAAACAATTTTAGAGCTAAAGCTTCTCTTTAACACTAAAACATATATAAAATTTAAAAAAATCACTGCATGACATTAATAGCAGAATGAAGATAACAGAGGAAACAGTCAGTGAAATTGATATGTTGGTAGAAATGTATAACCTGAGTAAGAAGAAGAAAAAATGACTAGAAAAGAATGAACAGTGCCTCAGAGGCCTGTGGGATAATTTCAAAAGATCTATCATTAAGTATGGACTAATTTTTTTATCTTGCCTAAATTCCTATCTAAGGGGTCTGGGGAGTCAGGGAGTCATGCCCTACAAATGGTAAATTCTCATGAGATGGGTTTTATTTAACCCTATATATCATGATTTACTTTCCAGCCTGACCGTGTCATAACAAGACAAAGAAGAAAATCAAAATATTTTACCCCAAAACATGTTACTTTGCCATACTTTGAAATGGCCTCTCAAAGCTTTTCTTTGTGGGGGAAATTTTGTACTGTAAAGCATCTCTATTAACATAGCTAAATCTTTTTCTTCTAGAACCTCCCAATCTTAAACAGATTCACTAAGATCTGAATAGGAAACATTTGTCACCTATTGTCTCTAAGGGCAGCTGCTATAAGACTTCAAAAGAACTTTGGTCTCCACAATCTTTATTTTAACCTGAACATTCACTTTCTATCTATCCTAGGTCTTTAGACAAACTCAACCAACTGTCAACCAGAAAACGTTTACATTCACCGATGGCCTGAAAGCCGCCCGACCCCGCTTTGAGTGGTTCCACCTTTCTGGACCAAACCAATGTATTTCTTAAATGTATGTGATTGATGTCTCATGCCTCTCTAAAATGTATAAAACCAAGCTACTCCCCACCACCTTAGACACATGTTCTCAGGACTTCCTGAGGGCTGTGTTATGGGCCATGGTCACTCATATTTGACTCAGAATAAATCTCTTCAAATATTTTACAGAGTTCGACTCTTTTCATCAACATATGGATACTTGAAGTGAAGAAGCAGAGGAAAGAGAATGAAGTGGGAAAAATATGAAGAAATAATTCTAGAAAACTTCCCAAATTTTCTGAAAGGCTTGAATTTACAAATTCAAGGTCAGCAAATCCCATATAGGATTGATCCAGAGAAACCTATACTTAGGCATATCAAAGTCAAACTGCTGAAAGCAAAAGATAAAGAGAAAATGTTGAGAGCAGGAGAGAAAAGTGACACAATACCTATAGGAAAACAACTATTTGAATAGCTGAAGCCTTTCTTTTTTTTTTTTTTTTTTTTTATTATGAAGGGCCAGATAGATGGATTCAGATTTTCTGATTGGCAATTGGTTGAGTTATTTCCTAAAAACCTCGAATCATTAGAAAGGAATGTCTAGGTTACCATAAGGGGTTGTGGAGACCAAGCTGTTACCATACAGATGAAGCCTCCAGGTATCAGGCTTCAGAGAGAGTAGATTGTAAATGTTTCTTACCAGATTTAAAGAGTCTGTTCTATCAGTCTTAAGATCTTTTCGACTTTAATGGTAACAAGTCTGACTCCTCCTTCCCATCATGACCTGAACTAGTTTTTCAGGTTAACTTTAGAATGCCCTTGGCCAAGAGGAGGTGCCCATTCAGATGGCTGAAAGGCTTCAAATTTTATTTTTGGTTTACAGCCCATTCTTCATCAAACCTAAGCATTAAAAAAACAGCAGTTTTCCCCTGGGTATTTGTGTAATTTCTGAAGGTTTCAGTGTCATGCAAAACTTTGATTTTAAAAATTAAATAAATGTGTTATGCTGTATTCTTGTTAATCTGTCTTTTGTTATAAGGGTGCCATCCATGAAACAATGGGTGAGGAAAAGATACTACCTTTTCTCCTCTACAATGCCACACTCTCTTCAAAGCTCATGCTTTTTTGTTCCCCTCCATCGTTTCACAATGAAATCACAGGCTGGCATGGCTGGGTGTTGGGTTAAAAAGTAGTCTGGGGCCAAATTGTGAAGACTTGAATGCCATGCAGAGGAGTCTGCATTTTATTTTTTATGAAATAGGGAGTTATTGGCCAGGCATGGTGGCTCACACCTGTAATTCCAGTACTTTGGGAAGCTGAGGTGGGCAGATGGCTCGAGCCCAGGAGTTTGAGACCAGTCTGGGCAACATGACGAAACCCTGTGTCTATAAAAAATACAAAAATCAGCTGGGTATGGTGTCGCATGACTGTAGTCCCAACTACTCAGGAAGTTGAGGTGGGAGGACTACTCCAGCCCAGGAGGTTGAGGCTCCAGTGAGCTGTGATTATGCCACTGTACTCCAGCCTAGGCTACAAGCAAGGCCCTGCCACAAAACATAAAAATAATAAATAAATAAATAAATAAATAAATAGTTATTGAAGGAGATCTCTGCAGTCAGAAAAATCTGGGCACAAATTGTAGGGGAGGAAAAGTAGTATCTTTTTCTCACCCATTGTGAGTTTCATGGCTGAGGCCCCTATAACAAGACAGATTACCAAGAGAAAGCATATGAATTTATTTATGGTAAGTTTTACATAAAACAGGAGACTTCGGAAATGAAAATCCAAATACTAAAGACAAACTACTTTTATGTACAGTCATGCAGAAGTATGATTAGAAGACAAAAGGGTATAATCTAATGGTAATAAACTGAGGGAGGGGAAGACTTATCAAGGCCTGCTTGCTCACATTCTTCTTGGCCTCCAGGGTTGGGGAGGACCTCTCTGGAATGAAGATCTTATGACCTATTTTCAGAGGAGGTAGGTCAGAATTCTTTTACGGCCTGCTTCAAGGGAGAAAGGTGGGAGGACGTAAGAGAGTGACCTCCCTGTTTCTATAGTTTTCTCAGTTTCTTTCAGCTTAAAATACTCAGTAGGCCAAGGTGCCACATTTTGGGGTAGCATGCTCCATATCCCATCAAGATCATGCTCCAGTAATCAACTTCTGTATAGAAAAATCACCTCAGAACTTTAAGCTTAAAACAAGAACCGTTTCTTATCTCTCATAATTTTTGTGGGTTAGGAATTCAGCAGAGGGTTGGCTGGGAGGTTCTGGTGTGGGGTCTCTCAGGTAGTTACAGTCAGATATTAATTCTCTGTCTCCACAAGGTCTCTCCAACATGGCAGTCTCAGGGTAGCTACACTTCAAAGGCTTCCTGAGCGAGTATTTCAAAAAGAATAGCAAGCATCTGTGCAACATTTTCTAATCTAGCATTGAGAGTCATTCTGATCCATCTGTTGATAATGTTGCAAAGATCCAAGAACAGAGGACATACTTTCCACCACTTAATGGTACAAATATCATAGAATTGTGGACATGTTTAAAACCACCACTTAACTCATCTATAGAATATAAAGAATAACAACAGCCAGGCACAGTGGTTCACGCTTGTAATCCCAGCACTTTGGCAGGCCGAGGCGGGCAGATCACGAGGTCAGGAGATC